ATATTTTTCAGATATTCAAAGAGCTAAAACAGACTGCTGAAATAAATTTCTTGAAGAAGTATAAGAAAAGAAAGTTTTTAAAGCTTTTAACTATATTAAAACAAGAAGTGTAGCAAAACTTCCAGCTCTAGAATATAAGTTTCAGAATGAATTATATACAGTAAATGCTTTTAAGAAAAAATATCAAGCTTTTATAAGAATTCTCTTTCAAAACTCATCAGATTCAGATTCAGAGAAAGAGAATATATCACTTTATAACTATATTAATGAAAATGACTGAAAATAATCTGAGTCTATATAAGATGAATTAAAGTCAGCTATCTTCTCAAGTTTAGTTAAAACTGCTGCAGAACCTGATTCAATTAATCACTTAATTATTCAAAATACATACTTCTACTGAAAGAATGAATATTTTAAGCTCTTTTTTAATCTCTTAAAAAATGAATATCATTCTGAATACTGAAGAGAAGCTACTGAAGTAATTCTTGTAAAACTTAATAGAAAAACTTCAATTTCTAAGTTATATAGAGTACTATCTCTATTATTATTATTATTATTCTTTCATTATACTCATATACAAGCGGAGCTTATAATGAGTCCTTGCATGATGTTAAATACAGGTCAAGTGTTAATTATACAGGAGGAAATACAGGTGTTAAGACTATGTCAAGATAATAAGAACATAGAAAAATACAAAGAAGTGATAATTAGATACATGTGATAATAACTTCTCAGCTCAGAAACATAGAGTGATTCATTGAAGTGATTTATACATCTCTGTATTTATTAGAAATCTGAGGTGCTTGAGTTCCAGATTTAATGTATTCTCTGCGGGTTTCGAACTCACATGTCTTAGTTTCCCACGCCAAGGCGCTATCGGGTGGCCGCATTAACCATTCAGTCACCAGGGCAGTAATATCTCTATTGAACTGTCTAGAAAAGGTTTTAGAAAAGATAATAGCTACTTAACTATCTTTTATAAGCTCTATTAATAATTCTCTTTTATTCAGTGAATAAATGAGAGATAGAAAGTAATGTTCTGTAATTAATACTGTTCTCTCAGTTATTTATAATATTTAAATAGCAAAGTATGAAGATCTGATCTCAACTACAGTTTTTATTAATATAAAAGAAGCATTTAATCATGTTTTAAAGTCAAAGTTAATTCAGATCTTAAAGATGTTAAAACTGTCACTTTCTCTAATAAAATGAGTTAACTGTTTTATATTTAAAAGAATTATACAACTATTCTTTGATGAAATGAAATAAGATAAGACTGAGATAAAAATAGAAGTACTGTAAGAATCTTTAATCTCACTTATTTTATTTGCAATATATACTGCATATCTATTCAAAAATAGAGATATGAAAATACTGCAATCTTCAAGTTATATAAATGATATTGATCTAGTCTACAGCTCAAAAACAATCAGAGAGAATTTGAAAGTGATTGAAAAAGCAGTAAAGAAAATCTTTATTAGAGTAGATATCAATCAAATTCAATTTAATATGAATAAAACTGAGTTAATTCATTTCTTTTCTAGATTTAATGAGAAAGAACTATGTCTAACTCTTTTAAATAGAGAGATTAAACCCAGTTTAAATGTCAAATGATTAGAAGTATGGTTAAACTTCAAGTTGAATTTTAAATATCATATTCAACAAAGAACTATCAAGGCAGAAAGACTATTGAATAATATAATGAGACTATCAAATACAGAGAGAGGTCTATTCTTTCAGGCTATGAGACAGTTATATATAGCCTGTATTATCTCAGTAGCTGATTATTGAGTTTAAGTTTAATGAAATAATCAAGGAAATTTCACTGAACTCTTTCAAAGTCTGTAAAACAGAGCTTTGAGAAGAATTGTGAGAGCATTCAATTATCTTCTATTAAAGCAATGAAAATTGAAGCTTCAATTCTCTCTTCTACTATTAGATTTAAAAAGATCTTTATGAATTTTACTCTGAGAGTTATAAAGATGAGCTTGAATGAAAATAATTCTTCAAAGAAAATGTCTTCTCAACTATACAGACTATATTCACTGATTAAAAATCGATTTTATTCTTTAAATATTGAAAAAGTTGATTATGAGAAGATATCTTTCTGAAGAGAAAAGCTTGAATCTTTTATAGACTTGTAAATAAGTAATCTATCTAAAGAGAAAGAATATGAACAGCATTTAAAGAGAATTTCTACAATTAATATAGAAGACTCTATTCTGATTTATTCAGATAACTTTAAAAATGAGAATTTGAATAGATTAGACACAGGCATTACTCATACTGAAGATAATATCAATTTTATCTCAGATTTCTGAAATTTAGACTGTGAATCTGAAGTCTTTGATACTGAACTATTTATAATAGTAAAAGCTTTCAAACTTATTGAAATAAAATCTCATAAGAGAGGAAATAGTTTGAAAGAGATATAAATATTCTCTGATAGTTAAGCTACTTTAAAAAGACTTAGAAATAGTCAGATTCATAATAATTAAATGAATCTTGAACTGATTTTAAACTCTGTTTTGAAAATTCAAAAGAGAAGAATATTAAAGCTGATAATTCATCTGCACTGAGTTTCTACTTATATAAATATTCATAACAATGAATTGACTGATTCAGCTGTAAAAAGAGATTCAGAATTAAGTAGATCTATTCAAAAAATTATGTTCTGATCTTTTATAAAGAGAAAGATAAAAGAATCTTATTTAGATAAGTGAAATAAAAGCTGGTAGAAATAAAAGAAGAGTATACATTATTCAAGATTTGAAATAAAACTCAAGTGAAAATCTTGCTTGATTAAATGTAAAAAGAAAATATTCTCATCTATAATACAGCTGAAACTAGAATATGACTATCTTAAATCTTATATACAAAGATTTGATTATAGATTTAATTCAATAGAATGCTCATTCTGCAATGCAAATAAGAATTCTGAGTATATTATAATACACTGTATATTATATAATAGTCTCAGAGTCAGATTGAAAGAGAAGTATAATCTAAATTAATTAAATATAAGATTCTTATTCTCAACTGATATAGAAATTAAATACTTAGTAGACTTTCTATCAGAAACTCAAGCAGCTATAAGAAAATGATTAAATGCAGAAATATCTGAATATGAAGAGAAGAAAATTAATTAGATATAGTCTGTTAAAACAGCTATATACTATCTTTTAATATTTTGTTTTATTACAGTCTCTCTTTACTTTACTTTTTCCTTTCTATTCTTTTCTATCTATCTATTTAATATGTCTATCTTTAAGACTGTGTTCTTTTTTCTTTTGTCATAATATTGTTAAATGATTTCAAAGTATCAGAAGATGTTAAAATACTGCAATTTATAAACAGTTTTTATATTCTGAGCTAGAATTTTCTGATTTTACATATCTGAAATTAGTGAATGTATAATAGTTAACTTTATAGATATAGGAAAAACTCTGAGAACTAAAAGTTCTCAGATAGATGTCATAGTCTCTGACTGTATACATTTATAATTGAAGAATAATAATAATAATTATAATTTCAATATTACTCAGAGTTACTGTAATATTATATTTATACTTATATTTAAAGATTCTTTTATGTTATTATTAGACATAGTTATATTATTCATCAGATGTATGAAATTGAATAAAGTGTAATTGTATAAATATCTTATATATTTAGAGTATTAAAACTCTTAAATCTTTCACTGATATTTTCTTTATAAGATTTTATTATCTTTATAAGATCTTATTATCAAGATCAGAGTAACTGATAAGCAAGTTTCTATTTAACAACTCAGTTATTATTATTATTATTATTCTTTTATTATACTTATATACAAGCAGAGCTTATAATAAGTTCTTGTATAATATTAAATACAGATCAAGTATTGATTATACAGAAGAAAATACAGGTATTAAAATCATATCAAGATAATAAGAACATAGAAAATATAAAGAAGTAATAATTAAATACATATGATAATAACTTTTCATTTCAGAAACATAGAGTAATTTATTAAAGTGATTTATATCTCTGTATTTATTAGAAACCTGAGATGCTTGAGTTCTGAATTTAATGTATTTCCTGCAGGTTTCGAACTCACACACCTTGGTTTCCCATGCCAAGGCACTACCAGGTGGCTGCATTAACCATTCAGTCACTGAGGCCTGAGAACTCAGTGTTCACTTAACTATTTAGTCATTTTTCTATTTCTTACATATTGTTACACATTCAGATATCTTCTTAATAAGTAATTATTTCTAATGAGAAGATAATTGTAAGGGGCCTACGCCGAATAGATCAGTATAATATATAGGTCTTATATAACAAAGTGAAAAACGTTAGAGAAGGAAAGAAAGAGAAAGTGCGGGAATCGGCGATCGGAGTGGATATTTATATGCGTACGCGGTGGAGCTTCGGGGCGGAAGAATAGGAATTCCATGGGTTTTTCGGCCGAGGATCGGCGACCGAGGATCGGAGCTTTCGGCGGAATCTGTGGAGTGTAATGGAATAGTCTATATGATTGATCGGGCGCAGCCCGCCACAATAATGAATAAGAATAATTATTTCTAATAAGAAGATAATGAATGTTTTTCAAGTATAAGAGGCCTACACTTAATAGATTAGTATGATATTTATAAGTCTTATATAACAAAGTGAAAAACATTAAAGAAGAAAAGAAAAGAGAAAGTGTGAGAATTAGCAATCAGAGTGAATATTTATACACATATGTTAATATACACAGTGAAGCTTCAGAGCAGAAGAATAGAAATTCTCTAGGTTTTCAGCTGAGAATCAGCGACTGAGAATCGGAGCTTCGGCAGAGGATCAGCGACCGAGAATCAGAGCCTCAGTAGGAATCTGTGGAGTGTAATATGATTAATCAGGCGCAGCCCGTCACAAGTTAATTCTCAAATTCAATAGAAATCTAGTGTTACTGTTCTCAATCCCTTGCAGAATCTATTGAATATTAAGGTATTAAAACTAGATTTAATATATCTCACTGTGCAGAGATCAAAGACTCAGTCAGACCTTGAGATATACTGATTTTATAGTTGTTGATGTGCTGTTGACTCGTTGTCCACTGATTATGTATCAAATACTGTTGCCAAGGTATCTTTTTGTATTTTTCTGCCGGGGATGGGCCAGATTGAGAGGGGCGGTACAAGGGTGGAACTTGGTGTTGATGTCTTGATACACTGAAGACAGACAGGGTTTTCGCGGAGGTTGCACTTCAGATGTGTCTGTTGATTATGTGCTTGATATTATTGCCGAGGTATCTTTTTGTATTTTTCTGCTGGGGATGGGCCAGGTTGGGAAGGGCGGTACGAGGGTGGGACTTGGTGTTGATGTTTTGAAACATCAAAGATGGACAGGGTTTTCGCGGAGGTTGCTTCTCAGATATCTTCACAATTACAGATCAGGGATCTTCCAAAATCAAGAAGATTGGCGCATATGGCTCGGTCTCTTCACCTTACAATTTGTATGGCAATTTGGCCCGGGGTTGTGGTGTGGTAGGGGTGAATGGGGGATAATCCCACACAGGAGTTTCGAACAACGTCTGGTTCATGTTTGGATAACTCCACCACCACACGGGGTATGCGGTCGGCGATGGGGTCAAAATGCTTGTATGATTGAGGGCTTTTCGATGGATCTATTAGCGGGTTCTTATTCGAAAAATCGAGCAAGTTCGTGGTGGAGCGGTTGATTGAAATATAATCTCATACAGAAGTTTTAAATAATATCTGATATGATTTGTTTCTACACTATTATGTTTTCCAGATTGTCTCTTGTAGCTTTCCACGAACTTTCTATTAAGCTTGACACTACTCTCTGTCACTCACTATTTTATATGTTGATGCTAGCAGCTATGTTTCTGTTTGTTGTGATTTGAAAAGACTGATGCATTTTTAATCGTGAGTCAGTTTCTATTCCTAGATTTCAGAATTATGTACAATGATGTCATTGAGAAATTTTGTGTCTTGGCAGTGCGATCAGAAGTAAGCATGAATGAGACTCAGATTGAAGCGTGTCTGAACAAAGAAGTTTATGAGATAAGAAGAGTAGGTAGACAGCATGCTCAAGCAAGGAGCTCTCTTAGGCTAGAAATACCCTTCCACTTCATTACAGGTGTAGTGAAATTAGTGAAACAAAAATTAAAAAAAAAAAAAAATTGTGGAGTACAGGCACGAGAATTACAATGTCAAGAAAGGAAATTAGGAAATTATTGATCACAAGTTCAATGAATCGGTCATTTCAAGTCTTGTATCTCAAAGACAGTCTCAATGTGTTGAAGCTCTTTGCTGAAACAAGTTGACATCACTTTTCTCTTTCTTACAATGTTGGTGGACGCATCGGAGAGAGGCTGCTGTATAGTGGCCAGTTCAAAATCAACCACCCTCACACGTTCGCAGGCCTGGTCCCATAGTATATTTCGCGGCTCCGCGTCGCCATGGAGAATCCCCCTCGAGTGAATGGCTTGAAGGGCACGGCATACTGTGGACCGTTTATTCGCGGGGCTAAGCGTTCCAGCTTTTTCGATTGATTCTCCCGCCCAACTCAGAAGTAAAATATGGGTGTGGATTTTTTCTTCATGGTAATAGGGGCGCTTTGGCTCCAATTTGACAACACCAAGGCAGACTGGGATGCATTCGCCTTGAAGGTCTCGGAGCTGATTGTAGACCTTCCTTTCATGCTGGAGTTTATCTTTATTCTTGGATTCCACGGCCTTGGCGACCAAGGTGTACCCATGCGATGAAAGTCTCACTTTGAGCAGTGTGCCGCAACTTCCTGCCTTGTAGAGTGGACAGCAGTCAGCATCTGGGCCACGATCTGTGGCAAGTTGCTTCTGGACAAGAGCACGGAATTCGCCTGCCTTGATCCGGTGCTTCCTGTGAACCTCGTAGTTGGAGCACGTGGGATCAAGAGGGGTGTTGTCCCTAAGCGCGAGGAGACATCGCTGAGAGCAGTATGGGCGAGTCTTGATGGTCAAGGTCTCAATAGCATTGGGCATCCGCTGGGTGCCCTCCCCATGTCCTGGAGTCTCTCTGGGCTTTGCAGACTGGATGTGACCTCCTCTTCTGGCTCGGCCACGGGGCCCGGAGTGCGGTGTAAGGGAAGGGGATGGGGGAGGAGACGGCGAGGGGGAGCTTGTCGCTCGGCGTTTGTTTTCAGAGGGCCGACATCCGGATCGCAGTGTCATTCTGAAGGGAGAAAGGTTGTGAGAGCGTCTGCCGTGGTATAATGGAGAGGCATGTTTCAGGCGAGCGGCAGGTGGAGTCTGGTCTAGGATGTCGGAATACTCCACAGGCCAGACATCAAGCTCATCAGCAGCATCACTCCACTGCTGGGAAACTGGTGGTGAGGTCAATGCTCTGATGGTGAATGCCAGGACCTGCGCGACAGCTGTCCCCTGAAGATCATCATCATCGGTCCCCTTGACATCCCGACCCGGTATGCAAAGCGCACACTGAACTGAAGATGGATCATCTGAGATGTACACAAAGATGAAGGCTTCTCCAGTGCAGACATAGCCGTATCGTACACGTTTCTGCACCATGTAGGAGAAGAGCTGGGTGATGACTGCAGCGACAAGTCTTCTACAGCAGAAGATAACATCCTCAGACTCCTGATTGATCACATCCCGGGCAGGTCGGATCTCTTCCCTCAATCCTGTAGTCATCTCAGCCTGCGTGAGTTTGTGAGGCGCCTTATATTCGATCGCGATGGCGGGGATGTGATCATCGCCATCCTGGTGGTAGATACAGAAGCGATCCGCTTGCCCTCTTGTGACTGCGGTGGGCTCCTTTTTCTTCTGACCTCTACTCTTAGCTTTGGCCGATGGTGCAGTCTCTGAGTTGATTGACAGGTCCTTCCCCTCTCCACTCAGCAAGCTCTCCTGTGGACATCCTACATTTGTATGGCTGTCAAAGGTGATTGAGCCTCGCAGTCCAAATGCCTCTTTGAGACTTATGTCTTCAGTGATCTGGTCAACAATATTGCGAACCTGGTTCTCCACTGTCTCTCGTTCATAGTATCGAAGATCTGATTCTGCAGTGATCGGGCTGAGGACCTTGCAAACATACTCAAGCTGATGTTTTGATGGAAACTGCTTTTTCATCAGAAACAATGGATGATCATTGAGAATCCTCCAGACTGCCTCCTGCTTAGCAAAGAACTTGTCACATATTATGATGCGCGAAGGAACCCTCCGATTAGCTGGCTTGGTTACAATACCCTGAGTGGTTCTTGTTGGGTCTGTCACGATGCGGATTGCGAGTAAGAGCTTGTGACAGTTATGGAGGAAGGGTAGAAATGTGGTAGGCTGGGTATCTGCAGTAAGGCTCTCTGCTTCTTCGCGTCGTCGCTGTTCCTCTTCGCGTCGTCGCTGTTCCTCTTGTCGTAGTCCTCTTTCCTTTTCCGCCTGTGCTTCCGCAATTTCTCGTAATGCCCGTTCTTCTTCTCGTAATGCCCGCTCTTCTTCGAGTTCAGCCAGTAGCTGTTGTACTCGGCTGTTCATTCTGTGACACTGTTCCTACCAGGCCAGTGCAGGCAAGATGTTGAGTTATAAAACTTCGCTATGGCAGAATGTAATAAGGATTTTTAGAAGTCCTCAGTGCAAGGGTGGCAGCACACTGAAGTATTGTTCTTCTTTGTTGAGATGAGTCACTTGACAAGAAGTAAACAAATGATACGGAACATGAATCTGTTGTATTTGTTGGCCGTTACGGCCGTCGCGGTTAGCGATCCCACTAGATCACGTGACCCACCACTATATTATGTTCTTGTAGATAGATCTATCAATAGTAATACAACCTTTAACTATTCTACAGGTTATAGCCTGAATGACATGTTTTTCTTTTTAAAATGTTGTATCAATATTTTTGATGAGAATAGTTTATCTTTTTTAAGAAAACTCTTACTTTTTATTAAAGATATTTTATTTTCTCTGAATTTACTAATTAGTAAATTTATATACTTTTGAAAAAGTATGTTCTCTATTATGAAGAATATCTTTTTTTTTTTTTTTTTTTTTTTTTTTTTTTTTTTACATATCTAGAAGAAGTAGAGTCATTTTAATATAAGTAATATATCTATTACTTCAGAGTTCAGCTCAAGGCTTAAAATCACTTACTTTACTAGATAACTTATTAATAGAATAATTACTTATTATGAGAAAGTTTCTGAGTTATAAGATGAGACTGATATTAGTTTTTATCAGAGTATAGAATTTGATAATGAAATAATAAATATAATAAGCTGTGTCAGATCAATTATATAAACTATTCTATTACACTTTACAGATTTCTACTACTCTGATTCTCAGTCACTGATTCTCAGCTGAAAATCTACAGAATTTCTATTCTTTTACTCTGAAGCTTCACTATATATATTATTATATACATGTATAAATATTCACTCTGATTACTAATTCTCATACTTTCTCTCTTTTCTTTTCTTCTTTAACATTTTTCACTTTATTATATAAGACTTATAAATATTATACTGATCTATTCAGTATAAATCTTTTACACTTGAAAAACATTCATTATCTTCTTATTAGAAATGATTATCTCATTTATTATCTTCTTATTAGAAACAATTACTCATCAAGATATTCAAACATATAATAATATATAAGAAATAGAGAAATGAATAAATAGTTAAGTAGATACTAAGTTCTTAGATAGAAGCTTACTTATCAGTCACTCTGACTCTGTAACAAGATCTTACAAAGAGAATAAGATTTTATAAAGAGAATATCAGTAAAAGATCTGAGAGTTCTGATACAGATATATAAGATATTTATATAATTACACTTCTTTCAATTTCACAGATATTACATATCTGATAATTAATATAATCAATCATATCTAACAATAATACAGAAGAACTCTTAAATATAAGTATAGATATAGTACTACAGTGACTCTGAGTAATGTTAAAATTATAATAATAATAAATAGCTGATATGCATGCAACTTAATAATATTAATATAAAGAGATTTAATAATTATCTTAATAAAAAACCTCTGTACAGACAATTTCAATATCAACAGAATTAAATATAAATATAATACAAATATTAAAAAAACACTTAAATACTTTTATATATTTTAATACTTCTGACCTCACTCTCTATTCATTATAAAGATTGAAAATGCTTATAAAACTAAGTATAGATGAAGATATCATCAGTTCACTAATTAATTAAGATTAATATATTAATGAATAATTGAAGAATTGCATGAAACAGAAGTTTCATTCATAAATAAAAGCATATAAATCAGCATTATAAACATCTGATAATATCATCAATTATCTTGATATTCTGTTTTAAAACACTGTTATACAATAGAAAGTATTAGATTAATTACAGAGTACTTAACAGAGAAACACTTCTCTTATAATATTTATTTCTAACTTCAATATCAAGATTCTAGAAGCAGATAATTAATCTTGAGAGAATCAAATGAAAAGAACCGCAACGGGGCCTTGGCGCGGCCGGGAGTGTGACAATTCCAGTGACCAGTCTAACAGAGCCCTGATAGCTGAATGATTAATGCGGTCATCTGATAGTGTCTTGACATGAGAAATCAAGACATGTAAGTTCAAAACCCGCAGAAGATATATTAAATTCAGAACTCAAGCATCTCAGGTTTTTAATAAATACAGAGATATACAAATCACTTTAATAAAATTACTCTATATTTCTGAGATGAGAAGTTATTATTATATATATTTAATTATCACTTCTTTGTATTTTCTATGTTCTTATTATCTTGATATAATCTTAACATCTGTATTTTCTTCTATATAATTAACACTTAATCTGTATTTAATATCACACAAGAACTTATTATAAGCTCTGCTTGCATATAAGTATAATGAAAGAATAATAATAATGATAATAATAACAGTCTAACAGGCACTGATTCATTCTTTAAGTGAGAAGACACTGATCTTTCTCTTAAGTAAGAAGATACATAGATTAATTAGTAGTTAAAAGTGATATATTCTGATTAATTACAGTTAATATATACTTTATGTTGATATTAATCAGTGACTTCTTCAGAAGTGATCTCAGAAACTTAAAAGTCTATTTTAATAACAGAGACTCTTACTTATATATAGATATTTAAGTCTACTTAGTTTATAGTATCTGTATCATTGTTATTATTCTTCAGTACAGATGTAGATATATAAGTGATTAAAATGTAATATCTTCTATTACTATTCTGTATACTCTTGAGCTTGATAAGATGATTATTCAATGTTTGAAGTTGTATACAGAAATCTTCATAAGTCTGATCTTTATCTATACTTACAAGAGTCTGTAAGAGTTTAAAAGTTAATACCTTCTTAACACGGCTCATCGCTTTCATGCGGATGATTTCATCCATTCCGCAGGCTGTCTGAACCGGTTTCCAACCACTCTATAACATCATTCGGATGTATCATAGAAAGATCCGATTGATGAATATAAGAACCTCACTTCTATACAAGGTCAGCAGATTACTCTTTCTTAGCAATGAGACACTGCTGAGGTATCACTTCAGCTATTCTCACTTGTGAAATGAGAGAAGGGTATCTGTCTATTGTCTATATAGAATAGCTAGATGCTGACTTCTTATTAAAGAAGTCAGTGATTTGTTTTTCTTCTACTGAAATATATATAAGAGTTACTATGTATCTCATACAATCTTCTTAGTATACTAAGTATTATATCTGTGATATTCTCATAATAACTCTGTAGTCTATAAGCTCACTATTCAAGCAAGATAGTCAAGCTCACTTATACAGCTTTTTAAACAACTATCTCTATATAATGCTGCTGACTAGTCACTGCTTCAGTTTTATTATATTATAATTTGAATCACTCAATCTGATTACACATTTGAATCAGTCAAGCTCTAACAGACTGATATGATCTCATGTATCTGTGCTGAGACTGATCTGACCTCACTCTCTGAGAGAAATACTACATCATTTCCTAGAGTATGTACATCTCTATCTCAGCAGAAATTCAAGATTTCTGAAATCACTGTACATTTTGATATAATCTCTTCAACTGCTCTGTCATCACTGCAGCCTCTACACACCTACATCTATCATGAAGATAGAGAGATTAAGATCAGAGATTTATTAAGATATAAGAAAAATATCTTGTCTGAATTTCACAGCTTTATCTGTACTCTTGAACAGAAATTCCACCTTAATCTGAGTCAGTATAATACTTATGAGATATAAGTAATATACACTGTCAATCTTCTTAAAGACATCTCTGCAACTACTTGAGTTATTAAGAAGAGAGAGCTTGAGCATATCAATACTATTATGACTTGAGAAGAATTTAAGAACTTTCTACTGAATCAAATTGAAGATCACTGTAACTGCAGCTTCACAGCAGCACAGCAGTTCAACTTATTATATTAATGAGATAATGAGAATTCTTTTAATTTCAATACAAGATTTGAAGAATATTGAGAGAAATTGACTGATAATTTAGATCAATTAAAAACACAGCTTTATCTCACAAAGCTGACTTATAAGATGTGAACAATAATATTATAATATCAGAGTTCATCAACTAATTGCACTGAGCTTGTTAATCTAGCTTCTCAAATCTATTTGAATAATCAATTCTCTGAGAAAAAGATTAACAAGATCTCTTCTAAGTAATTAATAATAGAATCTAAACAGCACTGTGACAGCTTCAGTGCAGAGAAAGTAAAGAAGAATTTCAAGTATTCTAATTCTTCACTAACTGTGAAGAAATGTTAAAAAAGATTTAATAAAGATCTCTATTTTAACTGTGAAGCTGATGATCACTATATCAGTGATTGTAAGAAGCTGAAGAAGAGAAGAAACTGAGAAGATATCTTCTCAAAGTTGACTTCTCTTCTGACAAACATATTCATGAAAGATAAAGAAGAGAAAGAAAAGAATTAATAATTCTTACATCTCTGAGTTCATGTTATGATCACAATGTATACTCTGAATGAAGAGATATCAGTGAGATGTCTATTCAACTTCAGAGTGAATACTAACTTCATATTCTATTTCTTTTCTTTGATGAAGAATTGAAAGAAGATAGATCTGTCAGATCATGTGAAATTTACTGATGAAATGAAATGTCACTGTTTTGACATAATTCAAGTGAAGTGTGTAGTCACAGACTCAGAAGAAATCTTCAAGAAGAGCAGTCTGCTTCTCTATACAGTTAATATCATAGATGAGAACATTATTTTAGATCTTCTGTGATTGAGAGAAAACAATTCTCTCATTGACTGAGTCACTCAGGTATGACAGTATCATCTCACTAATAAAGAGACAGTGATAGAGAAATCTGAAGAGTTTCATCAGAAGAATCTTAAGAAAAAGATTAAGTTAATATACTGTGTAGCAGATGACTGAGACTTGAAAATAGATGAAGAAGTCATCACTCTCACTGCAAGATTAGCAGCAGTATCTGTCATTGAAGATGAATATATATAATGTCTCTTTACAGATTTTAAGAATATCTTTTTGAAAAGAGAAGCAGTGAAGTTTTCTGATATTAAGATATGATATAAGATTTGTCTTGAAGATGATGTAACAGCACTGTACAGGTCTCTTTATAACTTATCTGTAAAGAAATTGAATGTTCTGTGTAAATATCTTAAAGAAGTGCAATCAAAGAACTGAATATATTCATTAAAGAGTTCAGCAGAGATGCCTATACTTTTTATACTCAAGAAGAATGATAGACTATGTCTATATATAGACTACAGAGGCCTTAACAAGGTGATAGTTAAGAATTACTATTCATTACTGTTGATTGATGAGATGATTGATTGATTATCTGAAGTAAAGATGTTCTCAAAGATTAATATACAGAATATCTATCATAGAATCAGAGTTAATGAAGATGATGTTTAAAAAATGACTTTTTATATCAAGTACAGTAATTTTGAATATCTTATTTTATCTTTTAATCTTTATAATGCTTCAGTCATCTTCTAGACCTATATAAATGAGATGCTGTGAGATCTTGCTAATGTCTTCTATATAGTATATTTGAACAACATTCTAATCTTCTCAAAAATGAAGAAAGAACATGATACTCCTGTTTAAGAAGTGTTAAGTTACTTGAGACAGTATCAACTCTATGCAAACACTGAAAAATGCTTATTCTACATGCAGAAGATTGATTTCTTAGATTATATTATTGAGATGAATGACATTTCAATGAACAGAAGTCAGATCTCTGTTATTAAGAACTGGTCAGTGCTGTGAATGTACTGCAAGATGCAGATGTTTCTAGAATTTGTAAATTTCTACAGACAATTCATCTATATATATTCACAGATTACTGTTCCTCTTACAGATCTGTTAAAGAGAAGTATGAAAGACAGAAAAATAAGACTATTTATTCTCACTCAAGACATCATGCAGGTGTTTGTAGAATTAAAATAAGCTTTCACAGATGTCATAATACTGAATCACTTTAATTCTGACTTACTCAGTCAGTGTGAGACTGATATATCTGAAAATGAGATCTGTGAAATCTTTTCATAGTTGACACTGAAGATCTTTCAATATTGAAAGAAACAGAGAATAATCATCTCTGAGAAAACAGACAATGAATTGTCTGTGAGAGAAGACTTTTTCACAGAGTCTATAAGATACTGTAAATGAACATCAGTGATCTTCTTCTTCAAGAAGTTATCACTCATACAGAGAAGGTATGATACTCATGATCAGAAGATATTAGTAATTAACAAATTCTTTAAGATCTGATGATATTATCTTCAGAGTAGTAAGTACTCAGTGCAAGTTCTCACTGATCATGCAAATCTGTGTTATTTCTTGATAACAAAGAGCTTGACAGAATGTCAAGTCAGATGAGTGAAGCTGCTTTCAGAGTATGATTTCTATATCTGATATCATTCAGATCAGCTTAACTCTGCTGACATGCTGTCTAAGTGATCTGATTATAATATCATTGATATGAAGAAGAATTCTATAAAAGAATCTCTGTCATCACTGCAGAAGAAGCTAGCTGCAGAGAGTTGAAATTCTCTGAAGCTCAGAAACAGTGCTGAAGAGGCAGCTGCATGACTCAGTATAGAAGATGAAAGAAAACTCAGATTCTCTCAGAGAACTGACACTGAAGATTATGAGCTTCTTATATCATATTTTACAACTATTGAATTGACAAAGAATGAAACAGTCTATAATCTTTCAACTCAACTACTTTTGAAATTTATTAATAAATTATAGAAGAGAGACATCTCTACTGCAGCTTGAATTCAGAAGTTGAAGAAGAAAGAATTCAGTTTGAACTTAAAAGAGACAGACTCTGAGCAGAGTGATACTGCTAAGAAATCAAGTCACTGATAACTAGAAGAATATGAACTTCTACTGCTGAATGATTCAGTCTTTGTCTCTCATAGCAGAGTGATATGTCAGAAGTTATTGAGAATTCATTATAATGATTCCCATGCAGGGCACTTCAGATTAGAGAAGACTGAGAAGCTTCTAAAATATAAATATATTTGAGACAAGCTTCAGACAGATGTTAAAGAGTATATTGAGACTTATAATATCTGTTAAAGAATAAAGATCTCACAGTATAAGTAATACAGTGAGTTAATATCACTGTCTATTTCAAAGAGTTCATAGCAGAATCTATTGATGAATTTCATAGTTGATCTGCTGAAGTCAATAAAAGTCAAAGAATATAACTCAATTTTGATCATTGTTGACTACTTTACAAATATGACTAGATATATTTCTACTTATAAAAAGATTAAAGCCTCTGAATTGACTGACCTGTTTTGAAATACTATCATTTATGATCATAGTGCTCTGAAATCATTGATAACAGATTGAGAATTCCTCTTCATCAGTAAATACTGATCCGCTTTTTACTATTATCTTATAATAAGATGTCTTCTCAGTACTGCATTTTATCTGCAGACAGATGATCAGACTGAATATCAGAATCAGATACTAGAACAGCATCTTTAAGTGTTCTATTCATATTATTAGAATAATTGACTCAAATATCTTCTAACTGCTGAATTTGCATATAACAATATAAAGAATGTAATCTTAAAGATATCTTCTTTCTATACTTATTATGAATATAATTCTTTATTACTCAGTGACATCATGAATAATGTTTCAAAGAGAGGAATAGACAGTCAGAATGTCAGACAAATACAGAGAATAAAGTATCTCTCAGTATTAGAAGTAAAAGTGAGATTGAAACTTTTGAATAAAATTCATGAGAAGACAGTGAAAAGTATCTGCTGTGCTCAGAAGTGATAGATAAAATACTATAATTGAAAACATCTTTCAATGAAGTTCTTGATAGAGAATTAAGTACTACTTTCAGCAAAGAATATCAAGATAATAAGACTGTGTAAGAAGCTCAGTGAGTGATGACTAGAATCTTTCTCAGTAATAAGAGTGATGAATAAGCAGATATATAAGTTGAAATTACTTATAGAATTGAAATCAATTCATTCTGTTTTTCACATTTTCTATTTAAAGCTCTATAAGCAATATCTCAGAGCAGAGCTGTCTCAGCTGAATAATATTAAGATTGAGAGTGATACTGAATATCTTATAAAGAAAATATTGAATAAGTGAATACATTACAGTAAGCTTCAATATCTTATTAAATAAGAAGATTATTCATTGTCAGAGAATTTATGAGAATCACTTAAGCATTTAAAAAATACTGAGAAAGAGATTGTAAGCTATGAGATAACTAGTAGAGACTGCTCTATTACATATCAGAGATATTGAGTAAGAAATGCTGTTTAAGACTTCTTATTTTTCTTAAAGAGTTTTTTAGAGATAATCTTACAGTGATAAGCTGACATCTTATAGACTCTGTAGCACTCTTCTTCTATTTTCTCTCAAAGAGTTTTTTAGAAGTTTAATGAGACTATACAAGTGTAAAATTCCTGAAGCAGTTAGAGAAAAGAGATATTAAAAACTAATAAAAAAGATTAATATTATTAATCTGTGAGTCACTACTATTCTAATAGAGCTGCAGCCTGCTGAAAAAGTAAAAAGAGAGATCAGAGTCTACTTATCAATAATCACATTCTTATTAAACTCATTCTTCACTGTTGAAGTCTCTGACACTGATATCTTTGTCTGCTGAGAAGTTAGTGCTGTAGCACTGCAGAAGAGTATAAGAAATGTATAAAAATATCAACTTATCAACTTATAAAGCATCTCAGTTATCTGCTTTAATTGAAGTGAGATTCTCTCTAATCAGCAATTAATCTCTGCAGTACTTTCAACAGTGATACTGATTAACTTCTTCTTAAGATCAGTTATTCTGAGATGTTTTTTCATCTCAGAGATTCATGCTTTCATCTTCTTTTACAGATAAGTAAGAGAGATCTTCTTAGTCTTGATAGAATTCATCAACACTTGAAGCTTCAAGACTCTCACTCTGTACTGCTTAAGTATCTAGACTTCTTATCAGAGCTGACATGACATCTTTCTATGAGATAATACTTACAGAGAGATAGAAGTCATTGTTACAAATATAACAGAAACAATGAGAGTAAGAGAAGAGATGAGTGTATAAAATCCCTCTCTTCTTCAGCTGTTTAGTGCAGCACAGACAAGTAATGATATCAGTCAGAGACTGTATCAGAGCCTTCTCACAGAGAGAAGATGAAGAAATCACAGAACTCTGCAGATTCAACTCAGCAGTATTCTGAGCAGAGCTCAGGCATGTAAGAGAGGAACTACAGATTGAGCTTCTCAGAGTCACTGTCTCTGAAACCAAGCTCTCTCTGAGTTCCTCTCTGAATGATCACACAGGGTCATATGCCACTGTATTAGCTGAGGAAGGGGGCGGCGTTGCAACAGCGGTGAGAGAGGCAGAGAATGAACTGGACACAGATGCATCAGCCAGCAGAAGAGACAACACCTCACTGCACAGTGTGACTACTATCACTGCAGCCACAAGAGATGCAGGAGAGAAAGAAGATGTGACAATGAAAGCAGTACTTTCACAGCTCATTGACACTGTCTTCACCTTCAACCTGGCTTTCTTGACAGTCACAGAGACTGCAGCTGCATCATGAAGATATTTACTCACTAGAAAATATCAGAATAAGCTCTTTATTATTCTTCAAGAATGATACTCTCATACACTCACTGTTACAATTGAGAAAGAAGAGAAAGAAAAATGTTTCACAGAGAGAAGAATCTTTTCAAAAAATTCTATCACTACTGTTAGCTTTGTCTCTAAAATACACCACTTTTGCAGAGAATTTCATACATAGAATGAAATATGATAAGAGATCTGTAAGTTACTTATTAACTACATTTTCCACATTTCAAATTGATATATAAGAAACTCACTTATCATGTGTTTGATTTGAATGAAGATGAGTAAAGAAAGACCTACACAGTCAGCAGAAAAACTCATCTATTTCTTTATATCACACATAGCACATGTGCTGTCAATCAGTTGATAACTGTTGCTATACAACAAAGATAATTTCTAATCCAGTAATCTTGAGAGCATAGAGACTATACTCTTAAAGAAAAGAGTATTATCACACTCTCAGTCATATCAAGACTCTGTTGCAGTTTCACATGACTCATCACTTTCATGTGAATGATTTCATTCATCTCACAGACTGTCTGAATCAGTTTTCAATCACTCTATAACATTATTCAGATGTATCATAGAAAGATTCAATTGATGAATATGAGAATCTCACTTCTATATAAGGTCAGCAGATTACTCTTTCTTAATAATAAGATGCTGCTGAGATATTGCTCTGACTATTCTCACTTATAAAATGAGAGAAGAGTATTCATTCATTGTCTATATAGAATAGCTAGATGCTGGCTTCTTATCAAAGAAGTCAGTGATTTGTTTTTCTTCTACTGAAATATATATAAGAGTTACTACATGTCTTATACAATCTTCTTAGTATACTAAGTATCATATCTGTGATATTCTTGTAATAACTCTGTAGTCTATGAGCTCACTATTCAAGCAAGATAGTCAAGCTCACTTATATAACTTCTCAAACAACTATTTCTACATGATATCACTGACTAGTCACCGCTTCGGTTCCGCTATGTTACAGAAATCATGAATTTCACATTTAATTTCATTTAATCTGGTCTCATACATTTCTTGACATGAATTCTGCTAAGACTAGTTCTTAAAAAAACATATAAAGTGACTATATATCAGATCTTAAAATGAAATTATAACTTGAAAAAAATAAAAAAGTGATCTCATTTAATCTCATTTAGTCTCATTCTTAGTATAAAGTTACTATTTTTAGACATTTTAAGGTTTTTTTAGACTATTTTTAATTTTTTAAAAAATAACACTTTTTGATAATACTTAAATGAGATTTAAAGTCATTTAAAGCAATAAAAATAATTTAAATTAAGAAGTGAAAATCATAATCTCATTTGAAAAATAAATAAGAGTAGATAGTAAGTCTCACTGAGACAGTATAAGACTACTATTTAATGTTAAAACTGTGTAATGAGATTAGTTAAATTAATAATAAGACTATCAAAAAATCTGATTCTGGTCTCAGACACGGTCACACAGTCAGTCTAGTGCCTGTCCGCGTCAATCACATTGTAGTGAAGAAAGATTTAGAAGATAACTATAAGAACACTCTGATGAAACAGAAAAAAGATTAGCTTCTATTCAAATTCACAAATAGCAGCTTGAAGAGGTCAGATAATAACAATTTGAAGAGAAAATAATAATGAACATGATTCTTGTATCTACTGTGATTGATAATATGTATAATATGAGAGTCATGATAGACAGTGATCTATGCTATTATAGAATGATTAAATCTTCAGTTATAAAATATTACAATCTTCAGCACATTCTCTTATTAAAACCTCAACTTCTCACATACTTTGATGACTTAAAAGATGTTTATATTCATTACATAGTACAGTTAAATATAGATATTGAAGAATATTAATATAAAGATGTCTATATATATAAAGTTAATAATCTTGACTATAATTTTATACTAGCACTTGTCTGACTATCTGAACAAGACATTTTATTAAATACTTAAAACAGAAGTTTAATATTCTCTAACAATGATAGAATTCATGAAGATAATATTTACAAGACTATAAACCTGACACAGATCTCTGTTAATACCTATAAAATACTTTGAAAAAGAAGTCACTGAAGAGATTGCTGATAGCAGAATTATATATTAATCTATTTTATCAGTCTGATTAATATTAAGAAAGCTTCAGAGAAGTTAGTCTGTACTATAATAACAGATTCTCACATAAAACTCTTTTAATAATATCATGAATATCTAGATGTCTTCTGATAAGATAATATTATAAATATACTCTCTTTATAAAACTCAGAAGTGAATCACAGTATCAAGTTAGAAAAGAAGAATAATAAGAACTTTGAATTATTATAAGACTCTCTTTATAACATGTTCTGAGATGAACTTCTTCTTCTTTGAAAGACACTCAATGTAAGGGGCCTACGCCGAATAGATCAGTATAATATTGATAGGTCTTATATAACAAAGATAAAAATGTTAGAGAAGGAAAGAAAGAGAAAGTGCGAGAATCAGCAATTAAGATGGATATTTATACATGTATGTGATGATGTACGCGGTGGAGCTTCGGGGCGGAAGAATATATGCGCGTTTGTAGCGGCTGAGGATCAGTGATCAAGAATGGCCGAGAATCAGAGTGTACATGTTCATAGCAGTCAAGAATCAGTGATCAAGAATGGCTGAGAATCGGAGTGTACATGTTTGAGAATGAAGTGATTGGAATCTGTGAAGTGTAATGAAATAGTCTATATGATTGATCAGGCGCAGCCCATCACATTAGCTCCTTCTTTCAGAAGCAGTTCTCATTGATCAAGAGCCACTGTTTCAGATAATACAGAACTCAGAGTTCAGATCAGTTGATTATAGTCAACTCATTTCACAAGATATTACTGACTGTGACTATGAGATCTCTCATTGAGAATATTCTCAATCTCTCACTCAAGCTTATTATCTTCTTCTATGATGTCTGATAATTGTCAGTTAGAAGTCAGTTGAGAAGAGAATGAATTGATGATAATGTAATAAAGTAAGCTTGTATAAAATACATTGTAAATCTCTGATAATGTGTCAAGACAGTAGTTATAACTATCTAGAACTTCTATCACTTTATACTTAGTATGATGATAATCTAGTATATAAGATAAATGTGTGATTTGTATATTCTTAAGATTCAATCATATCAGATCTTCTATCTTGTATTATTTAGTGAGATCTCAGTGAATATTGATTTGATTCTCTTGATCTTGTTTTACAGTTGTCATGAAGATCTCTGCTCAATCACAGGCATCTTAAAGCTTTATTACTATATTATCAGTGATCTGAATCAGACTGCAGAGATCTGATATGAACTGTGTAATCTCTAGAAGATTTAACACTTTCATGTGATATCTATGTGTAAGAAAGAATGAGCTTATATCTGTTAAAATAACATCTCAACTGTTGATAGTGATCTCTGTGTATAGAAGAAGATCATGTCAATCATCTTATAAGTAATTGTAGAACTTATAAAGATAATTCTTCACAGTCTGAACTATCTGTTCTGATGCACTGTTGATCTTGAAGTAATAGACAGTTGATAGACAGTGTGTAATCTTGAGAACTTGACAGATTCTTGTTCAGAGAGTACTTATAAATTAACAGTCTTAATTCAATACTATAGATCTCAGTAATTCATACATCTGATAGAATAAGCTCTATAGAAAAGCTTCAGTAACTTGTTCAGCATTCATCTTATTATAAGATTTCAATATTATATCTTTACTCAGTTAATTCATGATGATCAGAATATTTCTACAATTCTTACTCTTTAGATAGATTGATAGTGAAGTCAATTACTACATCTCATCAGATTCTATCAGAGATATTGAGTAATTTCAATAGATCTTTTCTACAGTTCTTTCATAAGATAATAGAAGAATAGTAATTACAGTTTCAGATGAAGCATCTGATACTGTTTAATATCTCAGATCAGTAGAACTCTCAGAAGATCATTTTATACAGTTATTCACAGTCTGAATAACTGATTATATATAAATTATGCATCTCTTGCATTATCTGAGTATGTAAGAGTTTAAAGTGAGAGACTCAGCATTATTCATGAAATTATAGAATGTTATTATCATTGATTGAATATTCTGAGATATCAGTTCTTATATGTAGTTCTGAGAAAAATTGAGATACTTCTTAATATACTGCTTCAGTGAGAATCTGAAGAAGTTCATCTGCTTAAGCTGCTGTATATCACAGTTCATTCAGTGTAGAGAGAGTGAAGATATCAATAACAGTTCTAACTAAAGAAGTATATATAGTATTATAAACTGTTTCATCTTGATCAACTAGTATCTTCAGATTCAAGAGCTGATGCTCTTGATTCATTCAGTGAGTATCTGTTACATCAGATAATATATCTTACTCTTGTTATAAGAGAGCATCTGTTATCAAGTTCTGACTGTCAGAATGATAGTGTATTGTAAAATGAAAGCAGCTTAAGAACTCAGATTATCATATCTGTTATTCAGTGAGTTTATAAGTAGTTATAAAGTATTTGAGATTCTTATAATCTATGACTATCTTAAATTCAGAGACACTTCAGAGTTCAGAGTCTCATTCTTCTAAACAGTATATAATTGCAAGAAGTTCCTTATCATAGATCTCATAATTGTATTCAGTGAGACTTAGTTTCTTAGATATAAAAATATATAATTGTAGAACATCTTGATCATTATATTACAATATCACTTCTTCTATTATATAGTCAGAGAAATCAGCTTTAACAACTATCTTACAATCAGAATCAAATGTTATCAGTAGAGAGATATTAATGAATATCTTCTTTATCTATATAAATACAGCTTTGATGTTCATTGATCATTGAAATACTGAGTCTTTCTTAGTGAGATCTGTAAGTGATCTCATGATATCTGAGAAGTTTTATATAAATCACTGATAGAAGTTAGTAAATCTGATAAAGCTTTGTACACTCTTCACAGTACACA